AATCAGGTGAGTGATCACAGTACCTTGTTTTAACATTTTATCAAAGAAAAAGGCATGAAAAGGGTAGAAAAGAGAGTCTTACATTGCCTACACCAACCCTACCCCATACCCTGATGATGCTGCGCAAGTGCCAAATTGAGGGAGAATCTGTGTGCCTGGGGGAGAAAGAATAAAGTGAAGTTATTGTGGGATTCTGCATTGGATCTCAGGGCCATCCCTTCACAGGGGAACACAACACAGGGCAGAATTCTGCAGGCATCCATGGAGGGAGAATTTATACCACCCCTGGACAGAGGGGAGTCCTCCACCTCAGTGGTAGAAACTTAAGTTCCAGCTAGCTCCAACACTTGCTGATGAAAGTAGCCTATGGCGTAGAATAAATCTGTAAAGCAGTTAGGCTATGAACACTGGATGCCTTTAATTTTTCCTCAAAAAATTAAAAATAGAGCTACCACATGACCCAGCAACCCCAAAAGGAAGGAAATCACTATATTGAAAAGTTACCTGCGCTCCCACGTTTACTGTACTAGCATGTAAAATAGCCAAAATTTGGAATTAGCCTAAGTTTCCATCAAAGGATAAATGGATATATACAATGGAATATTATATAGCCACAAAAAAGAATGAAATCCTGCCATTTGCCACAACATGAATGGATCTGGAGAACATTGTTAGGTGAAATAAGCTAAGCACAGAAAGACAAATCTTGCATGTTCTCACTCATATGTTGGAGCTAAACATTATATCAATTGATCTCATGGACACAGAGGGTAAAATGATGGTTACCAGAGGCTGGGAAGGGTAATAAGGATGGAGGGATAAAAGTGGGGATAGTCAATGGGTTCAAAAATATAGTTAGATAGATAAACAATATGTGACAGCACAAGGTGATTATCTATAGTCAACAATAAGGGTATACTTTAACTAAAAGAGTGGAATTAGAGTGTTCCAAAGACAAAGAAATGATAAATGCTTGAGGTAAAGGATACTACAACTACCCTTATTTTATTATTACACATTTATGCCTGTATTAAAACTTCCCAAGTGCCCTTTAAGTATATACAATTATTATGTGCCCATAATAATTAAAAATATCACATGAAAACTGATCAATGTAATATGCCACATGAACAGAATGAAAGAGAAAAAAAAACACATAATCATCTCAATTTATATAGAAAAAACATTTGACAAAATTCAACACCCTTTCATGATAAAAACAACAAACTAGGCTAGAAGGAAACAAACTCAACATAAAATTAATAAAAGCCAAACCCATACTGAATATCATACTCAATGGTGAAAGACTCAAAGCTTTTCCTCTAAGATTAGGAACAAAGTGAGCACGTCAATTGTTGCCACATCTATTCAACATAGAAGTTCTAGCCAGAGCAATTAAGCAAGAAAAAGAATTAGAGGGTAGCACTTTGGGAGGCTGAGGTGGGAAGATTACTTGAGGCTAGGAATTTGAGACTAGCCTGAGCAAGAGACCCTGTCTTTACAAAAAGTAGAAAAATTAGGTAGGTGTGGTGGCATGTGCCAATAGGTCCCAGCTACTCAGGGCCGGCTGAGGCAGGAGAATTGCTTGAGCTCAGGAGTTTGAGGTTGCAGTGAGCTACGATGACACCACTGCACTCTAGTCTAGGAAACAGAGTGAGACCCTATCTCAATAAATAAATAAATAAGAATTAAAGAGCATCAAAGTTATAAGGAAAGAAGCAAAATTATCTCAGTTGACAGACATGATCTTATATATAGAAAATGCCAAAGATTGTACAATAAATCTATTAAAAGTAATAAAGGAATTCAGCAAAGTAGCAAGAAACAAAATCAACACACAAAATCAGTTGCATTTTTATACGCTAACAATGAACAATCTGAAAAAAAAATTGTGAAAACAATTCTATTTACAATAGCATCAGAAAGAATAAAGTACTTGTGAGATAACTTTCCCCAAAAGGGGAAACACTTGTACAATGAAAACTACAAAACTTTGGCGAAAGAAATTGAAGAAGATGTAAATAAACAGACATCTCACGTTCATGGATTGGAAGATTTAATACTGTTAGGATGCCAATACTATCCAAAATGATCAATAGATTCAATGCAATCTATCAAAATTCCAATGACTTTTTTGCAGAAAAAGAAAAGCCATCCTAAAATTCATATGGAATCCCAAGGGACCCTGGACAACCAAAATAATCTTGAAAAACAACAAAGCTGGAAGACTCATACTTCTGATTTCAAAATTTACTTCAAAGCTATTGTAGACTAAACAGTGTAGTCTGACACAAAGACAGGCATATATACCACTGGAATAGACTAGAAAGTCCACAAATAAACCCTCCCATATATGGTCAAATGATTTTTGACAAGGCTGCCAAAAAAAGCTTACCAATTGTACATAGCCACTGACTACTTAAGATTCCTGTTTCTGGATACCTCAGCCCAAAGTATTCTTTCACTAACAGAGAAAGAGACTGAACATTTGACTGTGTGTTTATTGGTCATTTGTATTTCTTATGTTGTGACTTGCTTGGTTGTGACTTTTGCTAGCTTTGTATTGGGATGTTTTACATCTTATTGGTTGTCAGTTTTGTATATCAGGTACATTAACCCCTTGTAGAGCATATGCTGTGAGTGGTGAACTTGTTGGACTAACACAATTTGTTGAAACTTTTCCCCAGTGATTTTAAATGCTACCTTTATTGTATACTAAATTCATATATATGCATATGAATCTATTTCTAGGCAATATACCATAGTGGTTAATCGCATAAAATCTGAAAGTAGGCTGCCTTGATTCAGTTTCAAGCTCTCAGGCAGAGACATTTTTAACACCCAAATCTCAATAGTTATCTAAATTCCAGCATTATTAAAATCTGAGAAAAAAATATATAACATAAAGTACTTCTAAAAGATTTGAAATTGAGTAATATGAAATACAGACTAGAAAGTCTAGTTACTAAGTCATTACAATATGCCAGGTTACTTCATATATATTAACTCCATTTGATACTGAAACTGATACATATTGAAACTAGTGATTTATACTTTATTACTACCACTTCAAAAATAATAAAATGGAGGCAAACAGTTAGGTAAATTACACAAAATCATGTAACTAAGAGAGCTTAAAATTGAATCAACTGGCTTTGAATATTAAAAATAAAATCAATATGATGGTGCCATATCTGATGAAATGGGCCTAAAAGGACCCACCTCTTTGTTTACTTTATACTTTTACCTAAGGAGCCTTGTCTCTTTTCAGTTTATTCTCTAAACTGCAGCCTATGTGACTATATTCTAAACAAGGAATCAGCAAACTATGGTCTGCTATCCAAATCTGATCCAAGCTAAGAATGTTGTTTTTTCACTGTTTTACATTATTGAAAAAAAATCACAAGAATAGTATTATATGATACTTGAAATATATTCAAATTTCAGTATCTATAAGTGAAGTTTTTTTTTTTTTTTTTTTTTTTTTTTTTTTGAGACAGAGTCTCACTTTGTTGCCCAGGCTAGAGTGAGTGCCGTGGCGTCAGCCTGGCTCACAGCAACTTCAATCTCCGGGGCTCAGCGATCCTACTGCCTCAGCCTCCCAAGTAGCTGGGACTACAGGCACGAGCCACCATGCCCGGCTAATTTTTTGTATATATTTTTAGTTGGTCAATTAATTTATTTCTATTTTTGGTAGAGACGGGGTCTCGCTCAGGCTGGTTTCGAACTCCTGACCTTGAGCAATCCGCCCGCCTCGGCCTCCCAGAGAGCTAGGATTACAGGCGTGAGCCACCGCGCCCGGCCAGTGAAGTTTTATTGGAACACAGGCAAACTTATTTATTTATGTGTTGTGTATGGCTGCTTTTGCTCTACAATTGCAGAGTTGAATAGCTGCGACAAAGCCCATATGGCTTGTAAAGTCTAAAATATTTATTACCTGGCCCTTTACAGAAAAAATTTCCTGCTCAAAACAATGATATCACTCCTTTGTTTAAAATGATTTAGCAGTTTCTTACTGAATTTGAGATAAATTCTAAAAGTCAGTGGAAATCAAAAATGGAGGAGAGGTGGGTAGGAGGAGAGAGGAAAAAACCTACCTAATGGGTACAATGAACACTGTTCGGGTAATGGGCACATTAATTACCCTGACTGAAGCATTACAAAAGCTATCCGTGTAACAAAAACATTTGTATGCCCTTAATATTTTGAAATAAGAAAAAATAAAAATACACATGTGATTTGGGAGGCTGAGGTGGGAGGATCACTTGAGGCCAGGAGTTCAAGACCAGCCTAGGCAACACAGGGAGACCCCATCTCTACAAAAACTAAAAAATTAGCTGGATACAGTGGCACGTGCCTGTAGTCCCAACTACTCAGAGGGAGGCTTAGGTGAGAAGATCACTTGAGCCCAAGAGTTGAAGGTTATAGGGAAGGTTACAGGAAGCTCTGATCATGCCACTGCACTCTAGCCAGGTGAAAGAGTGAGACCCCTGTCTCTAAATACATATATACATACATACATACATTAAAAACAATAAATGTGAACATGTATTGTGAGAACAGTCATGATTTGTTACTGCTCACTAAAATCCAAGGGACAAACTGAGCACATTCAGAATCTGTGGGACACATTTTGCCCTATGTCCTGGCTTCTGTAGCTATACAGAGAATAGATTAGAGAGACATTTAAGCTTATTAGACAGAAAGGTGTCATACCCATACGTCAAGGTACGTGAGGAGAAAAGTTCAAGAATTATAAATTCTTAGAAAACATAAAGACCCTTTGGGCCCTGGCAAGGAAAATGTCAACAAGTCAAAGGATACTAGATGGCTATTGACCAGTTTCACGAAGGCAAAGCTGAAAGCCAAGATGGAATAATGCCTTCCCACCATGTGTCTAAGGCTGCAAATGACACTAATCCTTTTTAATGGTCACAAAAGCTGACAACTTACTCAGCCTTAGAACTGAAGGCACAAAATCATCTCTGGAAATGACTCACCATGAACAGGTCACGAGCACCAATGTCAACAGCTAAGAGAAACGCCTTTTCAAATCTCTGATACCTATAAGGAAGAAAAGAAATGTGTGTTAGTTGTGAACAAAACTATATAAAAGGAGAGAGCTGTCTGTGTTTAATGTATTTATGTGATATTGTTTCTGTTTTTCTGATGGGAAATATATTTTCAAACAAGGCATTTGGCCTGCTAGGATCTTCCATATATGAAATTTGATTGTACTTAGGAGGAGCTGAGGCACAGAGCCTGTGGAGTCCTTAAGTTTCAAGAATAAGCATAACCCCAAGTAGACACTGCTGAATGTGGGGAAATGATAGCTTATAAAATGTTTCTCATAATTTTCACTTTATTGTACTTTATAAGAGAAAAGCATGAGAATAAATTTGGAGAATATAGCAAGATAAGATGATTAATAAATCATATTAATACTTATACATTTTTGTTTCTTAGGTAAAATTTGAGACATCAAATGTTGTATTATTACAAAAGTTTCACATTTGTGGGTTTTGAAACAAAAACATTCCAGGCTGTTGTAAAATGACAATAGATTTTTAAATTTCTGTAAAAACATCACTTTTCTACTCTTTTTCATAATTATATTCTCTTTCCCTGAAGTATCATTTTGACAGTTTTTTGTGTGTGAAAGTTTAATTGTAGGCTAAGATACATGAGAGCAAGCAGCAGTTTAAATCAATTACCTTTATAGAAAGTTTAAGATCATAAGAGAATAGCATGTCATGAAGATATACTTAGCATAGGTTTTTGGAATGAAAGGTGATCTTTAATTTATCTGAGTTCTAAGTATAGATCTAGCAGTCAGTTTTTCTCTCTAGAAACAAGCAGATAAATAACAAAGTTATTTTCCATTCTCTATTTAATATTGTAAAATATGGTGGTAGAGATATAATGAGGTTTCAAATTAAAAAATAACAGAAGAATGGAATATTAATTATTAAAGGATTGCATATATTAGTGAAATATCTAAAATAATTAAAATCCAAATAAACAAGGCTTGTTAATATATATGAGCTGTTAGGTTCAGAACTTGAAACACTTGCACAAATTCCATATTATGTTTGATGACTACTACTCCATCTTCTCCTTGCCCCTTCTTACTAGTACCTTCAGTATGTGCCGGAATCCCTCTCAGCTACAGAAGTCATAAGGCAACTGTGTTTATTTTTGTAGATGAAAAGTGAAGGAAGCTTACTGATTCATTATATATTCAGTGGAGGTGGGATACGCCGAGGAAGAGGTCAGATGATTAGCAAGTTGTACTACTTGTATGCATTTACTGCAATTACATTTGTCCCCACTCTATCATAACTGTTCTGGCAATAGTAATCAGCCATCTTCTAATGATCAATCTTAAAGATAAGTTCTCATCTTGTGTGCCCTTTTGGCCACATCTAATCCTATAAACTGCCCCTCCTTGAAACTTTCTGCTTCCTGTCTTCCCTTCATTCTTTGTTTTTCCAATTTTTAGATTGCATCTTCTTAGTCTTTTTGGCTAATTTATTTTTCTCTGCCTCCCTATGAAATTGGTATTCTATGGTCCTATTTTATTTCTACTCATTCTCTCCAATCTCCTTAATAACCTTACCACTCTTATGGTATTGATAATCAGTTATATCAATGACTCACAAATCTATATTTCTAGGATCCATCTCTCTACCAAGCTTGAAACTCTTACTTTCAGGTACCTCAAAGTTAACATATCTAACATGTCCATATAGGGCAACCATATAGGACAAACTGAAATCAGAGAGAGTCAAATTAAGGGGTATAACATAGGCTGTGCCCTTTTTTCTACATGAGAGGTAATGATAGATGATAGATGGTAGGTTGTAAAAATGAAAGAAGTGGCATTGGCATCTGGCAGTATAGGGAACCAGAAACAGTAAAAGGAGCTCCCAACTGGATTGTTTATAAAATATACTCTAAACTACATCACAGAACTCTAAAAAGAAAATACCCAGTGGTACCATATCCTCAACCAACCAAAATCCCTTGATAGAAACCAGAATTAGAATCAATGAGCAGACAGCAAATAAGGGAAGCAGAACTACTTAGAGGACCACCACCCTCAGGAGAATAAGCTCTGAGTAAGTCTCAAGGTAAAGGTGGTAAGCTCAAGACTTCTGATTAAGCTAAGTGCAGGTACTACCTCCAAGACTTCTGATTAAGCCAGGAGCTAAAAAAAAGACCCAGGTTAGAAGTGCCACACTTAATGCCACAAACGTATCCCTTACTTACAAAAGTTTCCTCCCACCTTATTTTTTAATTTTTGTGATTAGAACACTTAACATAAAATCTACCCTCTTAGCAAATTTGGAGGTACACAATACAGTATTAGCACTTATTCACTTGTATATCTGAAACTTTATACTTTTTGACAACACCTCTTGTTTCTCCTCACCCTGGCCCTGGCAACAACCATTCTATTTCTTGCTGCTTCTATGAGTTTGACTACTTTGGATTCCCCATAGAAGTAGAATGATAAGTAGTAGTTGTCCTTCTCTATCTGGCTTATTATACTTAGCATAATGTCCTCCAGGTTTATCCATGTTGTTGTAAATGGGAGAATTTCCTTCTTTTTATAAAGCTGAATAATATTCCATTGTATATAAATACCACACCTTTTTTTCTGCAAGGAAATTGCTTTTATTAATTACACTCATACATAAGTGAATGATACAGATGATATTAGAACTTTGGATGTATTTGAATTTTTTCCTATATAAATCTGCTATGAATTGGAGATGGATTAATCTTCACGAAACTTCCCAATTTGCCTTGTAGATGAAGTTAGTGCTGTGAATTTTATTCTTTTGCTGGTTCTGTATCAGTGTTTCTTAATTTCTTTTTTATTTATTGCTCTATCCCTCAAAGACCTTTTTATTTTTAAAAATTTTTATGTGAAATCTCCAAATTTTTAAATGTTGGTTTAATTGTTTTGGTACCCTTTGACCAACATTTCCCTTTTCACCCACCCCTCAGTAACTACCTTTCTATTCTCTATGAGTTTGACCTTTTTTAAAATTCCACATAAAAGTGAGATCATGCAATATCTGTCTATGTCTGGCATATTTCTCTTAGCCTAATGTCTTCCAGGTTCATTCACGTTGTTATAAATAGCAGAATTTCCATCTTTTAAAAGGCTGAATAGATTTTTTTCAAGATAGCTGACTAGGGACAGCAGTCACCAGTTCTCAGAAAGAAAAAACAAATTACAGGTGAATAATCATGGCCCAAGGGAAATACTGAGAGAGGAGTACCATAACCTACCAGAGAACCTACAGAAAGAAGCTGGGGTACAGAAAAAGAAGGAAGCAAGAGTTTGGCAGAAATGGACCCCTGAGGAACTTGGAGTCCTATGGATAAGACAGATGGGGGTGTTTCTCTTTGTTCCTTTCACCTCTGCAGCAGACTGCTGGCCTCAGAACTGTCGCAGAGGCCCTCTACCCTTACAAACCTAAGCACTGTTGTGGACAGTGACTTGGGAACTTCTTGAGTACAGAACACATGGCTGCCAGGCTGCACAGGGTCACTTGTCCTCCCCTTAGAGATGAGCTGAGGCAGCAGGTGCCATACTCTCTATGCACCCATTGTGGACCTCTGTCTGCCCGGGGAGCCTCAGCCCTTCAATTTATGCGTCACTGGATCCCCCACAAATATTCTCCTGCACCTGCTTGGACTGTGATAACCACAAAGGGCTGATGGGACCCAGGGGAGCTGTGGGATTCCAGGGGTTCTAATCCTCAAGGAGGGCTGCCCCTAGGGAAAGGGAGAATACAGCATGCCAAAGCACCCTTTGTGATAAAACCAGAGCATGTGCCCTCCTCCCCCTGAGAGCTCCCTGCTTATGAGCTGAAGGTATCTACACCCCTTAGCAGAGATATACATGTGGCACTGAGTCTTGTAGGGGAGGAAAGTGATTCTGCCCCAGTGGCCAAGAATGGACATGGAGACAGGGACTTCTTCTTTCCCTGACTGCCCACTGCAATGGACGCAGTTGCAACTGCTCCTTTGGTGGGGGGTAGGGGAGGTGAAGTTGGTGCAGGTATGCTGGGGGATGGCTAGTCCAGGGCTTTTAGGGGTGGCTGCACCCCCAGTGATAGTGTGCCCACTCTACCCACCTTTACATGAAAGATGTGGCCCATTCCCCTCCCTTCCTAGGGAATCTCAGCCTGTGTGTACCTGCATTGCTGGATCCCCCACAAATATTCCCCAGCTTCTACTTGGACTGTAGCAGCCACAGGGGACTAGAGGGACCCAGGGGAACTGTGGGATTCCCAGAGTTCTAATACTTAGGACAGGCTGCCAATAGAGAGGAAATGAGAGTGTGGAACACTGAGGTGCCCTTTGGGACAAAGACCAGAGTGTGTGCTACCCTTCCATCAAGAGTTCCCTGCTTGTGAACTGAGGGTGTCTAAGACCCCTGCAGTGGAGACACAGGTGCATGGCTGGGCTCTGCAGGGGAGGATAGTTGTTCTTCTCCAGCAACCAGGCAGCACTGGTGCCTGGAAACAGATATGGACATGGGACTTCTCCTCTCACCCACTGTGGTGGATGTAGCCTACAGCTGTTCCTGCAGGGAACTGGCATAAGTGCACCAGGGGATGGCCATTCCAGGGCCTTTAGGGTTCTCTGTACCCCCCAATGGCTGTGTGCCCAATGTGCTGAGGCTTGTATGGAGTACAGGGCCCAAACCTATCCTTCACAGAGTGGCTAAGGGAATCTGTCACCACTAGACTGGCCCTACAAGAAATAGTCAATGGAGTTCTAAACATGGAAATGAAAGGTCAATACTCACCATCATAAAAACACATGAAACTGTAAAACAAACAGGTCCTATAAAACAAGTACACAATTGAGAAAGAAAGCAATTAGGTAACATTATGACAGGAACAGAACATCACATATCAACTTGAGACTTAGAAAGTAAGTGGACTAAATGTCCCACTTAAAAGATATAAATCCGGGGAATAGAGTTTAAAAAAAACACAAAACTCAAACATAATATGCTGCCTATAAGAGATTTAACT